CGTCGCTCCTGAATCCCGTTTTAAGCATATCCACATGGATATAGTTGGTCCCTTGCCTGTGGATGACGGTTTCCGTTATTGCCTCACCATCATCGATCGTTTTTCTCGATGGCCTGAGGCAATACCATTAAAGGATATTGAGGCTACCATGGTCTGTCGAGCTTTTGTCGACAACTGGATTGCTCGTTTTGGTTCACCCGAGACTCTGACAACTGATCAGGGCATCCAGTTTGAATCGCAGCTTTTCCGCGCTTTATTGAAACTCACTGGCTGCGATCGGATCAGAACGACTGCGTATCATCCAGCAGCAAATGGGTTGGTAGAGCGTTGGCACCGGTGTCTTAAAGCGGCAATTATGTGCCATTCTTCGCGTAATTGGACTCGAGTTTTGTCAACTGTTTTGTTGGGCCTACGAAATAATGTGTTGGATTGTGGTTCTTCTCCGGCGGAATTTGTGTTTGGCACTACTTTGCGCATTCCTGGCGAATTTGTTCTGCCCGACGATTTCTCACCAAATCCACAAGTTTTTCTCGAGGAATTTCGAGAAAATATGAAGTAGATAAGAGCGATTCCTGTAGCACATAAGCATAAGCGAAAGATTTTCGTGTATAAAGAATTGTCTAATTGTTCGCATGTTTTTCTACGAGTTATGACTCGTAAATCTTTAGAAAGCCCGTATTCTGGACCTTATAGAATTATTAGTCGACCATCAGATCGAGTTTTTGAGATCGATGTAAATGGGTCTGCTCGTAACGTTTCGGTCGAGAATATTAAACCTGCCTTTTTTGCTAGAGACATGGAAAATGAAAATCGTTCTATTCCATCAAGTTTAAATGATTCTCCGAGTATTATTAATGATCCGATACCCGATTCCAGCAATCAAGATCTTAGTATTAATAAACAGTCTAATCTTAGAACGTACACTCGTAAGAAAAAAGTCACTTTTGCGACATAGATTTTAACTCACTATTTATAAGTATCGTCGAATGTATAATATAATTCCTAAGTATTATCGAAGTGATATTTGACTACAAATTTTTTTTGTAAACAAAGATTTTTTTTCTCATACGACATATATCTTTATTTTTGAGAAACGTTTATACAAATATTGTTTTAGTAAAGTTTTTATTACATAAATAATTTTAAACCTAAGGGGGGAGTATTGTGGGGACTTCTCTTCTTCGAGGTTGCTCCCAGTTATAGGGACATTAGTAACTTTTATATTTCTACTGCTTACGTGCAGCTCTACGGAGAGTCTAGTCACATATGACTATAGGAAGGTTAGTTCTTATCTGGCTGTGCTCAGAGAATGAGGTTATATTGTGACGTACCTCTATATATATATATTTTAACCTCGTGTTATATCATTTATAATAAATAATTATTGTTAATATTATATGGAGTCATATTATTTACGGATACGCAATAAATGGGGATCCTTCTAAATATAGTAAAAACCCCATAAGAAAAAGTTTAAAATTTCAAAATTATATTACTGTACATACTGCTGAAGGTTTAATTCACAAATATATGATTCATCAAGAAAATAAAAACATTGATTGTTTTTTGGGATGATTCCAACGAATTGGTTGATCGTTTAAGGTTAATTTTAGCATCTCAAGCAGCTGGTAATCCTAGCCATAATAATGAAATATTATCAATAATTGAAGAATTGCGTGAAGCTAGAATTATTTATTAATCAATAGCTTGTTGAAATATGTATCATTTTCAAGATGAGTATCGACATATTCAGTCGTCAATTTAAAAGCGCAGAAAGTTCAAATCGGGGCCCTCCAGGACTTGGTTTTAAGCTGACATCTAAAGGAGATTTTAACATGGAAAATAAAAAATTATCCAACATAGCTGATGCTGAGAGCGATGGTGATGCAGTTAATTTGAACCTTGTTAACAAAATTATAGATACTAAAACAAACGCCATCTATGATGTAATAGAAGCATTAAAAAGTGACAATAATGCAAGAATTTCAACACTAGAAGATACTACAACAAAATTTTTCGAAAATCTTAAAACACATATTGAAAGAAATATAGAGTTGTTGTCTATGAAAGATGTTATTTCTCAATTGGACAGCAGACTAGAAGCAATTGAATCTAAGGAAGGAAGGGGAAGGGACGATTTGTGAAAAGTGGAAAATCAAAAGCTGCAGTTGGTAAAAGAATTGCATAAGCTAGCAAGAAAAAATTATAAGCGAAGAAATGTTGACATTCGAGGTATTGATGAGACATGGCAAGCTGACCTCGTTGAAATGCAACCCTTTTCACGAGAAAATAATAACTACAAATATATGTTAACCATCATTGATATCTTTTCCAAGTTTGCCTGGGCAGTTCCTGTCAAGTCTAAAAAAGGTGAAGAAGTTGCTGCCGCAATGAAATCTGTTCTTATAAAAAAACGCGTACCAAAAAATTTACAAGTGAATCTCGGAAAAGAATTTTATAATTCACATTTTGAAAATCTAATGAAAACTTATAATATTAATATGTATTCTACAAATACACTGAGGAAACTGTTTGGTATCATCTACTGAAGTTTGGTTCTCCAAACCAAATTTTTTATTTGATATATGTGCAACTAATCTACCAAATTTTTTGTTTTGCACAACTAACTTATTTTTTTTAAGCAAACAAAAAATTTAGTTAAATGAAAAAAATTTTTTTCTTTTCTCAACCAAATTATTTTTTAGCTCACACTTATATTTTTTATTTTTCACTTAATTTTATCACTTTTTTTATCCTCTTTTATTCTTTTCGCTTTATATTACCTACCACCCTATGTCTACTTAAATTAATTTCTATTGCGGAAAAACCTAACACTGCTGGGGATCGAACCCTCAGACTACGCAACGCAAATCAAGAACGCTGACCACTACACTAACAAGTAACACTACCCTGTCACGTCCCGAGCTAAGGTAGAGTTTATTTATTATTTATAATAATAAAAGGGAGATAAGTTGCTGATTAATCAGGTTGGTAAAGCCTGATGTTTATTTTTAATGTAGGATCGCGTCACTTCCTCAAAACTAAGGGTTTTGTGTTAAATAATATAAGAGAGATATTCCTTTTTATGACTGACAATTTATTATAAACATTTGTTAATTATAAATGTACTTACAATTGATGCGACGATATAGTAATATAACAAGCTGCAACCAGGATTACAGAAGTGAGTCTCTGGATGCGTCGTAATTATTAATGATACAGTTCGTCTTTATTACACTTTCACAATTTGATTATTACGACAATTAAGAATTGTTTAAATTCACACTAAATGTTGTTTTAGAAATACAATGAAACTATGAACTTTTAAGTAATAATAAGAAATTAAGAAGTTCACGAAATTCACGATTAACAGCAATGAGTGATAAACAATTACGAAATCGAAGGGCCGAATTTAAGACACCGTTCGGGCAGAAACTCGTCTGAACAATTGACATTTTGCAATAGAAAAACTGGGGTTTATATACTACATGATCTTTGTTCATAGGGGTAGAATTGTCACGTATAATTTGCAGACAGCGCAATTATCACGTACAATTTTCATTTAGCGCAAAAGTCACGTACATTATTTATTAATAGAATTATAATAATATCTTAATTAATTTATTAAGAATTTAGTTTATTAATTATAAAACTATCTTTTATATTTGTTAGATTTTTATCAATAGTTATTGATTGATATTTGATTATTGATTTATATGATATTCTATTAATAATCAATGTACATATATGTTTTTATTATTATTATTATAATATAATTAATAGTATTGAAATAATGTAATGATGATTGTTTAAACAATTACGAAATTTATTAAAGATATATGGCTGCAGTTAGCTCGTAATTTCGGCATCTTATATACATACATCATTACGTGATAATACACCGACCAACGATTAGTCATTTATATAGTTACAGTCGGTTTCTTACCGAGATTAATGTAGATAATTAACCGACTGCAATCTTTTCATTTGTTAAATCTTAATCGATAATAAAATATTTTATATACTGTAAAAGATTATTTACTGATTATAATATTCAAGAAATACTGATTTTTATGATGACATATAATTATATTCGCATGAATTAATAATTATGGTATATATATAGTTATTTATATACATTCATTCCAATTCATATATACTATATTTATGATAATTAAAACTATTGTAATTTTGGTTGCCTAGTTGTAGGCGAACTTAATTAATTTGAAAAGAATTTGTTATATCGGGATGTAACAGTCCTCCCCCCTTAGATTTTTATTGTCCTCAATAAAACATTGAATTTTAATAATTTAATTATGTAGTTTAATTTAACTATATCTATGCTGACAAGGAAAATGACAAAAGGTAAAAATGCAGTTGCGAGCCTTTTTGCAGAAGTCAAAACAACTATTCCTTGTGTACGTGACTCTTGACACAAAATCCTCTTTTATGAGTGTCATCAAATTTTTGCAAGATGACATACATTAGGTCAACCTTTGAGTTGCATCAAAAGACCTTTAGTTTCCTTTGTGTTATGGATGATCAATTTTTAGTGCAGTTACTGTTAATTTTGTTGATTACTGTGAAGAGAGGATGTTACCGCTACCATTATTAAGGGATAAACAATTGCCCCCTGGTGAGTAATTTTGAATTATAATGAATTTTCTTTCTTATTCTCACTTATTTTCCTTTTGTGCATATTCGAGTTTGAATGTGATTTGTGATGGAGAGTTCATCTAATGATCATATTAATTTATCTCAGGAATTAATCGATAGTTTTGACTTGAGTATGTTAGAAAATTTCGGGAGTGATAATTATTTAATAACAGAATTTAGTGAAAATTCGAATGTTGCAGTATCAGGTTCTATTGACAGTTTACGTCCTAATATTCCGTACATGAATCAACAACGGTTAATTATTGAACGTTTAGTAGATTTAGAAGAAAGGGCAGGTATTTTCCAGTTCGCCTTTTGGAAAATTTCGTCTAGTAAGGCGGTGGATGTTTTATGTAATTTGTGTTCATTAATTTTTAATAAAACATTTTCAAAAAACGAATTTGAAATCGTGCGAGAACTAGACAGTCGTCGTCAAGGAGTGTTGGTGCGCGTTTTGTCCTTAGAACAAAAAAAAAACATTTTATCCAGTGACTCTCTTTTTAGATTATATGGTTACCATGTCGATATATATTAGTTAATATAAGCTGTTTATTGTTCCCTATTTTTTTTTTAGTTTCCATAAAACACAGAAGGTCGGCTCGTCCTAACCCAAAAACTTTGGCAAGGATGTTCTTCATCATAAATGAAATGAGTCGTCTTCTGAATTTGGCCGAAAGCATCAAAAATTATTTGGATGCTCCAACATCTCATAAAGTTATTCAAAAAAGGCGTGGACGTCCTAAGAAAAGGATTTGTATTAAGGCTCCGTCAACATCACAAAATGTACCGTTCTTGAGTGCAGAGGTGGAGGAATATAATGACGTATTAGTTTGTGTTAAGAGGCATTCAGATGAATTAAATAATATTGTCACGCAATTAGTGTCTGATGAGAATCCGAATCCTCGAGCCTGCACTCATATCTCAAATCCTTCGATGTCCATTTGTCAAGGGTAAGTTATTTATTTTATTGATTAATCGATATAATCTTAATATTGTTATATCAAAACCATTTTAATTTTTGTTTGTTTGTTTTGTTTGTTTTTTTTTTTTTTTTTTTTTTAGCTATCCAAATAGTGATCATCAGTTTTGCGGTTGTGGAATGTATCTAGCTGGAGATGCAGAGTGTATATGTCGCAAAGGATTGAATTACCATCCTTCTCCGTTGTTAAACATTGACCAAGAATCGGAGCCTGGTTCTAGTCGTGACTATGAAGAAATTGATGTCGAAATTTAATACTGTCTTCTTCCTTTTGTTTTCTTTTCTTTTGTCATTTCTCCAATAATCATATATAGATATATATATATATATATATTACTCTCTTTTCTTCTAACGATTATTTACAATAAAAATTTTTATTACTGAAATGTTGGTTGTTTTATTTTAAAATTATTATAAATTTTTATTATATGTATATTGAAATTAAAAATTTCTTACAAAGAAAATTTATTTACAATATTAACGTATATAACATTTGTGCATACATTCTGTCCGTTTAATTATTAATTCAATATATATATTTATATTAAAAGTTTTTGTTGTTTTTATTTTTAAATGAAGAGTAATTATGTTATTCGTCATAAGGCGTGGACGTGTTTTATTAAAATTAATTAAGGGGCTTGGTTTCGATTCACCTTATCTTAATGTTATTTGTTTTATCAGAATACTTCATACATTTTTATAATCAGTAAACATCTATTTATATATTTCAGTATATATATATATGCAATTGATATGTATTCTCACCATTTGCAAGATCAAAATTTTGTATTATTATCTTTCAACAAAATATTATTTTTGCTATTTTTCATTGGCGCATGCGCATTTTCATAGTAAATTGCATTTATAGTTACAACTGAATCTGTTAGATTAAAATTAATAATTAAGTAATTTAATGATTATTCAAAATTAGATTTTAATTTGTTATTATCCAAATTATATTGTTTAACAGTTTCCGTTATAACTATGTATAATTATTAGGTTTTATTAATGATTACGATTGTGACTACATTAGATAGACATAACTTTAGTTCCTTATTTGATATATTTTTCATGGCGCTACGATGTTTTGTTAGGGTCGATACTCATGGTCGAAACATACAGTGTAATGCATGGTAGGTTAATTCGAGGTGTAAAGACTCTATAATATGACATTGCGTAAGGCGCGTTATAGAGTGAAGTTAGTTGATAGTCGCATTGGCATGAACCTTTAAAACGTAATACTTTAAGGTTCATACATAATTGAACGCATTATTAAATTAGTTTGCTTAGATTAATTTATTCGTATTATTGATAATTATTACTTATAATTTAAAGATATATTTAATTTGTTTATTTTAATTGAATTGTAAAAGATTAAATTTTTAGTAATATAATTTGGTAATAACACCAATAAATTAATCATGTTTTGTGACTTTTTAGTTTGCGCAAGCGCATTGTTTATAAAATTTTATTAGATTGAATTTGTTAAATTAATATAAGTTTTACATGTATTATTATTATTATAGTTTAATTTTAATTAGTTTATTTGTTTATTCTAACTTAATTAACAATTTCAATCTAAATATTACTTGTTAGATGTCATTTGGTGTTTTTGAGAATGTGACTACATTCTGCAGTTTTTGTGTAGTTCCATGTTTGACATGTAGTATGTGGCGCTGCGGTATAATGTTGATCGATGGTTGCGGTCGATACGTAGTCAGGGGTGTAGTCTAGTATTCAAGTTTGATTCTAGATTCATGAATAGTTTAATGTTTATTGAAGGTGGCGCTGCAATTGTTTACATGATTTTTAGAACTTTAATGTTTTTGAAATAATTTTTTTTTTTTGTTGAAATTTTTAAGTCCCATCCTCTATCCTTAAATAATTCCATTGTCCTCAATGGAAATTTTATACAGATGATGGTTGGTTTGCACGTTGTCGTCTCATTGTTATGACTTTGTATAGAATATATAAGTTTTTTAGTACAATTATTGCTACGAGTAGCAATAATATTTTGAATGCTATTGATATGTAGTCAACGGCGTCGGTAAAATATCCAATGAATGGAATTTCCATCTGGAATATTTCAAGTCATTATTAGTATATTTCTTATATAATTTATTATTTTATGATTATAAAGGCATAAGTATGCATTATTTATTGTTTCTTATTTTATTTAAAATTGTTTAATTACAATTTATTGTATTTGTTAGATTTATTTGGTAGTTTAAAATATTTATCTATGTTTTAATTCGATATGTGTATTGATCGATATATCGATATATAAATTGTAAGGCTTGGTTTACAATGTACGTAAAATTTTTTAAATGAAGAGGAAAGAAGAAGGCAACCTCCAAATCCTCTTCCTTTTCTTTCGTCCTCATTTAAATTTTTGTTTTGTTTATTTTATATGTTTTTATACAACATAATTTTTATTTATATAATATAATTCTACTTATGTGATTTAGTATGTTTCTATGATTAATTAAAAACTTTTTGTTATGTACATTAATACTTTATGTTTTTAGTTGGATTATATATTTCCTTTATAAATGATTTATTAATAAAAAGAGGAAAGAAGAAGGCAACCACCAATTCCTCTTCCTTCATTTTCTTTCGTCTTTTTATTTGTTTATTTATTTATTTATTTTTATTATTTATTGAAATTATGACATAAGTAATTATAATTCGTATAATTATTGTTTGTTATTAAGATTACATAAATTTTATTACATTATTAAGATTATTTATTTACGAAAACTTCGCAATAGTTGCATATTTAAAGTACTGTTGATTCTGGGAGATCCCAAGTATCTTCGCAAATATTATTTACTGAATTTAATAAAGGTTTTCCTGGTATTTCCCAGAATTCATCAGCATTTTCTTGTTTAAATTTTGGCATTAAATTTTTATTTCTTATGGTTCCAAAGCAATTGGCTCTTAAATGGCCTCTCATAAAACACGATTCGCAACTATTACTCCATTTGAATAATTTTATTCTTAATATTGTTGGGTGGGTTAAACACATAATATAACTTAAACCGTTGGTTTCGGGATCTACTGCTTCTTCGCTAAAGTAGTAGGTTTTTTCTAAGAGCTTTAAAATTTTTCGCGCAGCTGCATGTTCAGCATCTCTGATTTTTCTTTCATTTTCTCCGATAGTTATAAATGTGTTACCATTATCTAAATCTTTTACCGTACATTTCACGTCATATCTTCTATTATTAGAAGGACCTACTACTCTTTCTACAATATATTTTGGTTTTGTTAGATTGTATTCTATTGCTAATTCTTCTAAAATTCCTTTGGGGAATTCGATCTCGTTAATGTCTCCTTTTGGGAAATTGATTTCGTTGACGACCTCTCCCTGGAGAGGTGGTGTTTGGAGTACTACTTCTGCCATCTATAATACATAAAATAATGTTATTATTTTTATTCATATGCAAGTTTTAATTTGTCTATATGTTTTTGAAACCTTTGACCTTCATTTGTAATTAAAATAGCGGTATGTTTATCTAAGATATCCACAATTTCGTAGGGTCCATGATAATAAGGGTCGAATTTATTTTTCTTTACTTCTCTTAAAACGTAGGCTTTGTCGCCTATTTTTCCTAAAAAGGGTTTTAAATTTTTGTCATAATTTTCTTTAGATTTTAATTTAGATTGAATGAGGTTTTTAGCTGCCATATTTCGAATTTCTGTTATTCTGGTTATTAATTCTAATAAATAAGATCCGTAAGTTTCTAATTTTTCTTCTGAAGGAAAAGAACTAGGGGTTCTAGCAGTTTTTCCGAAAACTAATTCAAAAGGGGTAAAATTTGTAGCCTCATGCACTGAAGTATTATATGCGAACATTGAGAAGGGTAATAATTTATCCCAATCGTCATAATTTTCTGAATATTGTTTTAAAAAGTCAACTAAAACTATGTGGCTTCTTTCTAAACTTCCATTTGTTTGTGGTCTATATCCAGATGTTGTTACTTGTTGTACTCCAAATATTTTGGATAGTTTTCTCATGAGTTTACTAATAAAACCTCCTCCTTTATCAGTTAGTATTGTCTTTGGGGCTCCATATTTCGAGTATAATTCTGTGGCTACTGCATGAGCTATGGTGGTGGTTGAAATATCTGGAATAGGTACTGCTATACAATATTTTGATAATTGATCTTGCATAGTTAATATGTGACAATTTCCATCTGGGGTTGTAGGTAGTTTTCCTACTGTATCTAATGAAACTTTGTCAAAAACATCAAGTGGTGTGTCAGTAATTAACATTGGTTCCTTAGTTTTTGCTCTTACTAATTTTAATTCTTGGCAGGTGGGGCATTTTCTTATGAATTCTGTTACTTGTTCTTTAATTCTTGGCCAAATAAACTTTTCGCGTATTCTACGATAAGTTTTCGTTACTCCTTTATGTCCTCCTATTTTACTATTGTGGTATTCTTTAATTATGGCTTCACGAATTTCTTCTTTTGGGATTGTAACTTGACCATAACATATAGTGACCTTTATGTTACTATTTTGAAAAATGGACTGTAATAATTGTAATAATTCGCCTCTTAATAATTCATTTGTTAAATCTCCTCCTTTGGATATTCTGATTTCTTTTATATTATTTCTTTGAAGAGTAATTTTTAAGCTTTGTAATGTAGTTCGAATATCGTCAATATAAAGTCGATCAAAATGATTATGTTTTACGACAAGAGAATAAATATTATAACGTCCTCTAGGAGTTATTAAGATTTGTCCCTTCTGAGGGTTTTGTAATTTTATTTCCTGTGGATCAATTGCACCGATATCGATAAGTAGACGACCGATAGGTGTGGTTATTTCGCAATCTGCAGATAGAAAATGAACATAATTATTTTTATAATATGTTAAATTTTCTCTACAACCTACAACGTTTAAATTTTCTGTGTTTATTTCTTGATTTATTATTTCTGGAAGATTAGGGGGAATACTAGAAATTGATGTTTGAATTTTTGATTTGATTATAGGCTGTTTTTCCTTAGATTTATCTTCAATTGTTTCTTCTTTTTCATGGATTACACCGTAATCATCTTCTTCAGATTCTGAGGATGATTCTTCTTGGATGACTGGATAGGGAGTTGATATTGCAAGTGGTCTATCAAAATTTAGCGGCGTGACAGCTCTTTTAGGTTGATCACCGAAGGTTACATTTTTATTTTTGTTTATTTCTCCTTCAAGCTCTTTTGTCAATGCTTCTTTTTCTTTTTCGTTTGTGTTTATCGGATTATTTGTTAATTCTTGAATTTTTTGGTGAGCTTGTTCT